TTATTACCTAGCTAAAAAATCTTCATTAATAAATTTTATTATATGACCACATATAGTTTTGATTTACATAGTACACCCGAATGCCTAATTGCATGTTGAATGACAAGTCAAGTGACACTGAATAATATCATTTAAAATATAGAATGTTTGTTGAAAAGTTATTAGTAAAATTATTAGAAAAACAAAAATACCTTTAATTCTATAGGAATAGTCCAAAAAATCAAATGATGATCCGCTAGAAAAAATAGATGCGAAATTAAAGTCGATGGATCCATAAAATTTTTATATGCATTTCCTATGAAGCCGTTATATGCAATAAATGGTAAAAGGATCGCATATGGTGGGTATATACGCATAAATCGACGAAGAAAGTACTTTAACCAAAATTTTATTGGTATTTGATATTTTAACACCATTTTTTTTAGGATATAATGATAAAAAAGTTATCAGGCTTTTTTTCTTCTATTGAGGATATTTCAATCTAATCTTTTATTAATAAATGATTAACAATAATTATATAAATAATTTCAATTAAATATGGGTCCTGATTTTTCCACACCTTTTTTTTGATATTTTTACACCCATATATAAATCTTTTTTATTTAACTTTGATCGAAAACAATTCGACACCCACACAATCAAATTCGATGAAATTTTTTATTGAATTCTCTGGAACTGTAGAAATTCAAATAAAAAAAATTTCATTGAAATTGATTGTGTGGGTGCCGAGATACCTTCGATCAAAGTCAAGAAAATTTGCCGTAGCTAATATTTTGATTAACGGTTATTGAAGTATCTCGACACCCACCAAACCAAATTTGAAGAATTTATTTTTTATTTAATTCTACTGTTCCAGAGAATTCTAGTAAAAAAAAATTTCATCAAATCTGGTCAGGTGGTTGTTGAGATATCTTCGATCAAAGTTTTAAAAAAAATTATAGACGTCAATTAAATGTCATGACTTTGATCAAAGATATCTCAACAACCACCTGACCAAATTCGGCTAATATTTTTTATTAAATTCTATGGACAGTGGAATTAAAATAAAAAAAATCCATCAAATTTGATTCGGTGGTTGTCGAATCAAATTTTTAACGTCTATCAAAATATTAGCTGCGGCAAAATTTTCTTAACTTCAATTGAAGGTATCTCGACACACATACAACCAAATTCGATGATTTTTTTTATTTGAATTCTCTGTTCCGGGGAATTCAAATAAAAAAAATTTCATCGGATTTGGTTGTGTAGGTGTCACCAAAGTTAAAAAAAAATGAAGGTGTGGAAATATCAAAAATGGGTGTGAAAAAATCAGGACCCTTAAATATAAATAGTAAGACATTACAATCTTATCAGAATCCGTCGATAATAAGAGTGGGGCATTTGATAAGTTTGTTTCGAGGTCCACACCACTTTCTAAGTGATCAATTTTATTTACAATTGAATATGTATTTTTTTTTCTTTTCGTGATACCATTCCCAATCCAATAACGTTCGAAAAGTAAGTAAAAAAGCGGAAAGCACAAAAAACATGATTACTCCATAATATCCCACAAGGTCGAATGTCGTAAATACTAAATGTTGATTAAACATTATCTGGGTGTGACAAAAAAAGACACATAAAGCTGCAACACCACGAAAACCATCAAGAAATGCAGCGTAGAATATAGAATTATTTTGATATTTATTTGAAGCTAGTGGAGACTTCATTCTTTTATGTAAATATAAAAATTTTCACTAAAGTAAATGCAGTCAGGGATTTTTCAAATACAAGTTTTGCCAAATTATTGACTGCGTTGTTACACTTTTGTTATTTAGTGCACAACCGCCTTATAAACCCTCGGGGATACTTTTTGTAAAAAAAATTTCAAAGGTTTTTTTTTAAAGCTGATTATTATTTTTAGATAAAAAAAAATGCTTTTGCTTTTAAAAATGAAATCGGTTTAGAATACCCTTTTAATACATTTGCTGATCATTTCTATATCGCGTAAAAACCCTACCCTGTGTCAGACGGTGCTTGATGACGAAAGACGATACCTAAGCCTCAAAATTTTAAAAAGCCATTACAAAAATATAAATAGGGAAGCAAGCCTAGAGATGTGCCGTATGCATTACGCAGGTAATGTTGAATGCTACATAATGCTGCATAATTCGATGCAAGTTGCCTAAAATTTAAAAATGCACATAGAAGTTATTATGTAAGTTTGATCTAAGTCATTTCATCAATGATCACTTTATAGACACTTGTTCCTATCAAAATCGATAGCCTATGAAATCCAATGAAAAATAAATCTACCAGGTCTGTTTCCACTAAATAAATCTAATAGTTTATGTTTTCGAATCCGATAACCTCTCAGTAATAATACAAAGTCTGTTTACTGCATATAGGTTTTGAGAAGTCCACAATATACTATACAGAATTACATAATGCATCATGTTGCATTATGTGATGTAAAGCCAAAAAAAACTTGCATTCGCACGTCTCTAGGCAAGCAACACGACAATGGCAGTACAAGGGACCTTTCATTTGATACTCAGCACCGATAGACTAAAATTTTTTTTGGTGAGCATGTGTGGTGTGGGGTCCGGAACGGGCCAGCCTACCGGCCGGCACGTTCCGGACCCTATTGATAAACCCTGACGAATGATGAAATAGTTTCATGATGACAAAACCATTTCATCAGGCAACCTTTAATTGACAAATGACGAAACTCGTGACGACAAAATACATGACGAATAATGTAATATATTAACGAAATGTAATCTTAAAGATGAGGTTTTAGCTAAAATTTTCAACAAAAGCATCACTCTAAAATCATTAAGCCTCATTGGAAATCAAATTGGTCCTGAAAGCGCTAAAGCGTTAGTAAGGACCTTCTGTGCAGACAATACTATCTTACTTCTTTAGAACTTTCTATAAATTGCATTTATTCTGAAGAAGGAAAGCATTAGCGAAAGCACTTTACAAAAATACGACTATTACTTCATTAAATCTTAACCGTAATGTAGTTGGTTCTGAAGGTGGAAAAGCATTAGCGCAGACCCTTTATATAAATACTACTCTAACTTCTTTAAATCTTTCCTATAATCGACTTGGTTCTGAGGGTGTAAAAATACAACTCTGACTTCTTTAAATTTTAGGGGTAATCAGGTTGATCCTGAAGGAGGGAAAGCGTTAGCAGAGGCTCTATATATAAATATTACTTTGAATTCTTTGGATATTTCCCATAATCAACTTGGTTTGGAGGGTGTGAAAGCGTTAGCAGCGACTTTACGCAAGAATTCTACTCTTACTTCTTTAAACCTTAGCAATAATGAGCTTACTTTTGAGGATAGAAAGATATTATCAAAAGCTCTAAGAATGAAGCTTTGACTTTCTTGAGTGTTTGAGGTAATTGATTTGGCCCTGAAGTAGGGAAAACATTTGCAAGGTCCTTTATATAAACATACTACGAATTATTTAGATCTTTATATAATTCTAAGAATAGGAATGCGTTAAGGAAAGCAATTCGTAACAATGCTACCATAGTTTCTTCTAGTATTCAACATTAACTTTATGTTAACGTCAAATTTAATTTGCGGAATGCGCTATTATATTCTATGCTATAAGGGCATATTGGGATTGCAAAGCAATTCAACATAAAACTTGTTTAGTTTTAAAAATATATGCTGAAATATATATTATTTGTTTTCGTTCGTTATGGCAAAATTTAATTGGGTTTATGCAAAAGATCAATAGACAAATGATAATGTAATTGACGTATTCTCACGTATCTTGCTCAATGTAATTAACTTGAAATTGTGTTTACGTTCAAGCGTTGCAATGATTGAAATAACGATTTAGATTGATGGTTGTATAAATACTTTTATTATTACTATCTTATTATCACCATTAAAAAATTATAATATTGCTTTTACAAAACTGCAATAAAAAAAAAGAAAGAAAAAGAAATAACCCAATTGAAAGACAAAAAACCATGTCAGAAATTCAAATTTCTTTTTCATATGTTACTATATAACGAAATTGGCTGGCACTGTTTTTCTGGATCCTTTACTACAAATAAAACAAATTTTGAATATGAAAATTTTTAATTATTGATGTAAAAATTTTGCCTTTCTTAGCTTTGACAACGTTGAGCCATTATTTCTTGTGAAGGAATAATAAATGGAATGGCTGTATTTAGTGTCATATAAAGACTAGAATATGATAAGTATAACCATTCATGAAATATCAGCTTCCTGCCTTTTTTATTTGTAGCCGAGCGTTGGATACGATTTTGAAGATCCATAATAGTAAAATTGTAAAGTGTTTAAAAGATATTTTTTTTTATAATCCGTCAATGGAAATTTTTAATAAATCAGCACAACTCTGGAAAAAAAGGATGCTTGGCTAATTAAAATTTTCTCTATGACGTATTAAATTATAATATATCACGTGCGTGCAATGCTTTTCTATATTTATAAACGGAATCGTAGAACGTTTCACAACATTTGAATATATATACGTACGTACGTACTAGTACGTACAGTATCGGTATGCGTAAATTTTCTAAACTTGAATGTTTTGAACAAACATGACAACATTACCAAACGAATGCCTTTATGAAATATTTAATAATTTTCGAACACATCATAAAAGCTTATTTTCATGCCTTCTTGTAAACCGTCGATGGTGTAGAATTATTATACCAATATTATGGAGTGATCCAGATTTTGGCTTTAATAATAAAAGTCTTGTAAAGATATGTCTTTTAGCATTAAATGCTGAAGAACAAGCTCTGTTAATCCCTTTTAATATAACCCTTCCAAACGCTCAAAAATCATTATTCGAATATACAAGTCATATTACATCAATTAACTTTATTCGTTTTACGAGTGGAATTAAAAATTATTATAATATAACTTGCAAAAGTCAAATAAGCGTTATCAAATGTTCTTTAGCTCTAATGTTTTTACGATCTAGTAAAAAACTTAACCATTTATCTTTTATTGGAGAAATTTATAATGAAACTGTATTTGTAGAAAGGCTATGTAAAAACACTTCTATTACTTCCTTAAAATTAACGAGCTGTAATCCTAAAGATGAGATTTTAGCTAAAATTTTCAACAAAGGCATCACTCTAACATCATTAAGCCTCATTAACAATCAACTTGGTCCTGAAAGGGCTAAAGCGATAGCAACGACTCTCTGTGCAAACAATACAACCCTGAATTTTTTAGATCTTTCTAAAAATTTCCTTTATTCTGAAGGAGTAAAAGCATTAGCAAAAGCACTTTCCAAAAACACCACTATAGCTTCATTAAACCTTCGTTTGATTGCGCTTAAATGTGAAGGTGTGAAAACATTAGCAGAAACCCTTTACATAAATACTACACTGACTTCTTTAAACCTTTGCCGTAATGCAATTGGTTCTGAAGGTGGGAAAGCGTTGGCTGAGGCTCTATGCAATAATTCAACTCTAACTTCTTTAGATATTTGCATCAATGAACTTGGTTCTGAGGGTGGAAAAGCGTGTGCAAAGGCATTATGCATAAATAATACTCTAACTTCTTTAGATCTTAACAATAATTATCTTGGTTCTGAGTGTGGAAAAGTATTAGCAGAAGCTCTATGCAAGAATACAACTCTGACTTCTTTAAATCTTAGAAATAATCAACTTGGCCCTGAAGTAGTGAAAGCATTTGCAGAGGCCCTTGATATAAATATTACTTTAACTTCTTTAAATCTAAGCATTAATCCACTTGGTTCTGAGGCTGAAAAAGCGTTAGCAGATGCAAGAATACAACTGTGATTTCATTAAATTTTGTCATATATGCTTGGTTGTGAAGGCAAAAAATCATTAACTGAGGCTCTTTGTATAAATACTACTCTGACTTCTTTATATATTGGCAGCAATCAGTTAGGTTATGAAGGGGAAATGTATTATTTTGAATTTCAATAATCAACTTGGTTTTGAGGGCGTAAATGCCTTAGCAGAGGCTCTGTTCAAGAATACAATTCTGACTTTTTGAAATTGGCAATTACCATTTGGCGCTGATGCAGAAAAGTATTAACAAAGACCTTTATATAAATACGACTTTGAATTTTTAGACCTTTTTTATAATCATGGTTATGAAGGTGAGAAAGCATTTGTAGGGCCTTTATATAAATATTACATTGAATTATTTGATTTTTCCTATAATCAACTTGGCTTTGAGGTGGGAATCATTAATTAAAGCACTTAGCAACAACATTACTGTAGATATCCAGCACTTCTCCTATAGCTGACGTCAACTTAATTTACTCTAGTTATAATCACAATTTATAAAAATTTATATTTTTATTAAACCCAACTTGTTAAAAATATCTTTATAAGCACGATCTTATTATAATTCTAGTCAGGCTTGACTGAATATTGAAATGTAATTTATTATTTGTTTTACACTTGACTTACTTTATGGAAATTCCAAATGTTCGATATCCGATTCAATTGATCAAACACTTTCTGAGTTTTTAATAATAAAAAAAAAAACAACTTTATCTTTGGCTCAATAATTAGATTTATTCATGAAAAGTGCTAAAATTTTCAAATTTCTCCACACTGGACATCATCTGGCGATCATAGTAATATATAAAGCACGTAATTCTTTATTGGTTTATTGAAGAGATGCTTGTGAACCGAACCTTAACCACATTGAAATCAAGACAAGTCAATGCAAACTACCTCAACCTTAGCCAATGCTGTGGTCATCAAAATAGCAAGTAAGTTTTGATTACAAGAATAGAAAGTATAATAAAAATAGAAGTTCTAATGCAAACTCATGCGGCCTTAACCAAATACTAAACTGTGATTACCAGAATAGCAAGTCCTATGAAAGAATGTTTTACTGTGTCCCATAATAAAAATCATAATAATATTGATACAACTAACTATATCTTTTGTGTAGTTGAACTTATGATTTTTTTGTAAGCCTTAATTTTAATATAGCAATCACATAAATTCATTATATTTTTAGAACTCATTTAGAGCAGCCCTAGCATCGCCACAAAATGTAGCTTACAAAGTTCTGAAGCACAATAACAATAATCTGTACATGGTAATAGAATTTGTTATTGCTAAAAAAAGGACCATTATTGATCCCGAAGTTTATTATGACGTAACTACATTTTTTTTAATTCTTTTTGTAAGCGATGTTAAGGCTGTTTCATTACATGAATTTGTTAGCAGATTTGTGTAAAGATTTTTGACAGAAACTTATGATTTGAATTGCGATAATTCAAATGCTCGCAAACTCAACTACCTTGATCAATTGAAGAATATAACCACCTACAATAATTTATCGATGTCTTAATTTATCTCTTATTTATGCTTTATTTGGTCACATGTGAATAATTTAAATTTAAATATGGTGTATTACGATATGTGACCAGGAATTTCCCATGGAATCATCATATTTAACGCAGTGTTAGATATCTAATGTTCTCAGTGTTCTCAAAAACGTTTAAAAAAATTTGAGATTATATTTAAAAATTATGTTCTCTTTTAAGAACCAACTAAGAACATAAAATTTATAATTTATGTTCTCATATGATATATAGAAAATATATAATTTTTTTTTTTATCATTAAGAACACTAAAATTTATAAGAACATAAAATTATAAATTTATGTTCTCAAAATACAAAAAATTTTTTTCAGATCTCTAACACTGATTTAACGTTATTTTTTCACAGTCATATTCTCACAATCACGAAGCAATTATACTGTACAAAAACATTTTGAATTGCAATTTTCTTTTGGCTAAAATACCGTAAACTGCTAACTCTTGTATCCGATATTTACAAAGACTAGAGATAAATCAGTTGAACTTTCAATTTTGCCAGTCTTCGAAGTATTACACCAGCTAGATATTCTTCAAAGTGTAAAAACTCTATCATTCGAGATATAATACAGGATAGTATGCGAATAAAAATCGAATTTTTGTTCGCAGAAAAACCCGGATATACGAGTCAGCAGTTAATGGTAAGCAACAGAGCTCTGATGTATAAAACATCACCAATGACGAATCAAAGCATACGCCACAAGTAGATTTATAAGAATAAAAAATAAATGGCAAACAGTTTCCTAATCATTAATGCAAAGTTATACTTTTTTTTATAAATTATAATGAAAAAATCGATAAAAATTAAGAAAAGGAATACATTAGATAAACATATCAGTATACACTCCTTTTAAATGCGTAACAATAATTTAGGTGATGAATGTATATGATCTATTTTTATATTTATCTTATACGTTTACTAACCTGAAATTAAAGGGATTATACTGAATGTTTGATCGCAAAAAAAATAAAAAACAAAAAGTGTAAATTACAATAATGAATCAAAACAAAAGATCTTAAAATAAGATTAAATCTTAACAAACTTTATTAAAGGCAAAATTTTGATCATTACAGTTTTATTTATATAACCTATTATATTACATAATACTCGGACGTTTTTTCTGCTATCTGAATTTCATTCAAAAAACACTTAACATCCACGTTATGTTAACGATAATGCTTACATAATGATTTAATACGTATGTCAAGCTACGGGATTTGAACATTAATACGCATAAAGAAACTTACAGATGTGAGATTTAAGGACTCATTTAAATCTATAAGACCTAGTGATGGGCACCGACGTGAAATCGAATCAAACCAGATTCCGAAATATTCCGAGGTTGACCCATTTCAATAAGATTCCGAATTATGGAAAAAACCGTTGAGGTAAAATTTTGAAATATGGAAAAAATCTATCCCGCGCAGGATTTTTGGAAAAACTGCCGATTGCCCATCACTAATAAAATTCACATTTAACTCTTAATCTAATTTTTAAAAAAACCTACACAAGAAACAAAAAAATCAAATTTCGCAAATAATTTCAGCTTCAGCTGTCAAAAAATAAATTCAAACAGTAGCGCATAACAAATTTAATTTAGCTGCTCGAGATTAATATGACAGAATACTGTAATCAAAAACATAATACTAGTAGTTATTCAAATAATACTTTGCATGACCATCAATCTCCTATCATGTCACTCTGACATCTTGCCTACTTTAAGAACCCTACTTATAAGTATTAACGCAATAATCTAGGTGCGATAATCAAATAATATATATGACGAACAAATATTAAGCCAAACAATAATAATATAACGCAGTTAAAATCGAGCATATGCGACATCCATCCCAGTAACAATGATTTTCTTAGCTACTTGTTTGTCTAGAATTTATGAGTTCATATATAGAATATGTTTGGCCAACTCTTATATCAGATGGAAACAGTTTTTTTGCAACTTCAAGAGAACTACTCGAAGGCCAACAATTGAAATCTTCTTCATTTATAATGTTGGTTAGTTCATATTCTGGGGATATATTCTCTGATGACTCTATCATCAGGTAGCGAATCAAAAATCGCTTCAAAGCAATCAATAATTCACCAGCAGAAATTTGATTATCATGAAATTGCTCTTCAAAGTTAATATGTCTAAGAAGTTGCATCCTCATGCGCTGCGATAATGGCTCCTTATACTTCGCATCTATGCTATCAAAATTGTATGTTTTCATGCTCTCCATCCTTTCGTATAGACTAATTAGATGCTTTAAACGCACTTTATCACTAAACATTCCACAAAACTTTACATTTTCTGTCAAGATTGATAAATCCGTTTTCTGAGAAATATAATTCTTGACAGATATTTCACCATCATTTCTACAATTGACATTACATATTAGCATTTCTAAAGCAGGAAGCATTACTGTTGCACTCTCAGATGTGAATGATTCATCAAACACATGTCCATAAAGGACTGAAGCGTTTGCAATTGGAAGTGGCTCTTGAGTAACAAAATTATTGAAAGTTGATAAAACGTAATAATCTCGCAAGAACATCTCTCCATAAAAAGGAAATAATGTATTAAAAGTAATTTTAATAATGAATTTATTAAAAACCAATTGATGCGCAAGTTCCGTTTCAATGCGATGTAAATCGTATACAATATCTTCACCATATCGAATCTCTAAATTTCGTTGACTATATTGCAATAGTTCGTCATCCCATTCGTAATCGATAAAATTGACAGGTTGTGCGTTCTGAATATGCACTTCTTGGAGATAGTATTGAGTTTGAGCATTTTGTGTTGTAGATGTTGAAGGAACGTTCTCTGCGTTGGTTTCTAGAAATTTGAGTGAAGGGCACAAACCAAAAGGGATGTCAATCGTCTCTCTCAAGAACTGATTTTGTAGTTCGATCAGATATAAAAGAATAGCGCAAAGATAGATGCCAACATCTTTTTCTTCTGCAAAACCAAACATCACTGATGATTCGAGTGAAATTTTGGGAAATGTCTCAAATTGTTGACATTGGTATCTCTTTACACGTGGTGCCACCGTGTTCCACGATTTTTCAAATTCTTTAAAGGCAGAATTCAATACTGAAAATGTTTCCTGAAGTTCACCATTATTTGATTTCTGGTTTATAAACTTTTCGAACGTCATTTCACTAGCTTCTTGTCTGGTGATTTGATACTCTAAACATGTTTTAAGAATTTGGACAAACTTCAAGATTGATAAAAGGTTTTTTATGAGATGCAATTTCTTTTTGTGCCGGAAAAAAACCTCCAAGAAAGGATATTTGACTTTGTTATCTTCATTAATTAAGTAATAAGCATGTAGACTTTTAAAGCTCATGTCTTTGATCTTTCTCCAAAGCCTAGGTAGATTCATATTATGGTATTCTTGATCCTTTGCTGATAGCATGTCATCAATCTCCTCCTCAGTTAAGCTTATTCTATCTTTTAACATTTCTTGCCGAATATTTTGTACCGTAATTATCACATTAGAAACATCATAATTCTAGCTAAACTGATATTCCCATTCTTCTCGTTTCTCTGGAGTATCCAATCTCCAGCTTGATGCCGGTTCATTGATCATTGAGGAAATAATAGAATGCAAAATTAAAGCCAACTGTTCATTGCTACAATCAAAACGCTCTTTAAGTATATTCCAGTCATTACGAATATTGACAAGACAAAGTTTCATCTGGTTATCTGCATTATTACCATTCTTTGCAAAAAATTTTGATGTAATAGATGATGGTACAGATGCACCAAGAAGTGCATGCACAAACAAATGTAAGATACGATAGGGTTTTGGAGTCAGCATACGAACATTATGAGTTTTTTCTGCTGAAATTGGTTCAGATATATATCCGGGCTCGTGCTTGATTGGAAAAGATGTGATCTTTTGTTCATCCAAGCGTTTACATGTAGTTGAACCATGACCAATCGTTCTCTTGCAATTCAGACATTTACTCGAGAAGCTAAGAATAAATATGGGCATTAAATAATATATTTTAATTAGTATTAATGTTCTTTGAAAGAAAATAAAATATTTCCCCATTTTATATAATTAACTATACCCTGATCCAAAACCTCCACAATCAAGGACGATAAACTTCTCACCGCACGTGCATTGATACCTTTTGAATTAACAGTTTAACAAATTCGTTACACTGCACATTAGAAAATTTATTAGAAACAACAGCGTTATTATCATATTACCTGGTAACACCACTTTCTGCACCCTGTTCATTTCTTTTGAAAGAATAAATGACGATTTATACGTATTTATACAGATGTAATAAAAGAGAATGTATTATATGTATTATACGGAAATTTACAGGATTTTATCAGATTCTAAGATTCACTACAGTAAAATTTTATATGTGCATACACCTGAGCCAAACTTTAGCAATGTACACTAGATAACAATAAGAAGTGCGTTTAGAGATGTGAATTTGGAGAGGGTGTGCACTTAAAAAAGGTGCACATACGAAAGTTTCACTGTGTTTGACTCATAAAAATTTATTATTTCAATAATTTCAAAAATATTGAAAAACTAAAATTTGGTAAAGTCCTGTAAATTTCCGTAAAAAATTTTCAATGAATAGTACATACCTGAAAGAGGCGATTGCATTCATAACAACACCTTCTACGTCTGATGGGCATGTCAGAATGAAATCATCTTGACAAACTTGCAGCTGATGGAGATAAGCAGCAAGTGGGCTTGCATCACTCGGGATTGAAGCATGCACAATTATTAAATGCACAATGACTGTCTTCATAAATAATTCATCATCGTCGTTAATCAGTTGGATCAAAGAGTTAGAATTTAGTAGCAATTTTTCAAGTATTTCTTTATATACTGATGGTGCATTCATTGATCTTATTTCTTTAGTTAAGTAATTAACTATTCTTTTTTCATCGTTTGTCCATTCGTATAAAGTTCTCATTAAATGTAGACGGGCAGCAATTACTCCAGCAAATATAACAAGATCATTCTTTGTCAAAGATTTATTGTTTGACCAGCCAAAACATATTATTTGGGATTTTTGACCGCTCTGTTTCCAGGAATGATGCAAAACACACGTTATCACTAACTTCATCGCACTTGAAATAGTCGTAAATGTAATAATAATAATATTCTGCGTATTTATAGTCCTGATGCAACCAATATGGATTGAAAGAAAGTTGATTCTCCTTATCTCCCCAGGGTATTTCTTTAAGCCAAGGGAAAGTCTGCTCTTGTGATTCACATAGATCCTTAATATCTTGCATTGAAAAATTGCAAGTCAGAAGGTATTTTAGAAAATATATTTTAAGCGAATGAACCCTTGGCAATTCTGATTCTAATTGATAGTTGATATCGCGGATAATGTTATTCATGTAAGTATCAGTGGACTTTTTAGTTTTCTTTTTGTTTTTCTTAAAACTACAGAAAGCGCGTATGTTTGCTATGTTTGCGTCGCAAAAAGCGCGTACATATTCTTTCAAAAAAGCAATAGCAGTTATATTTTGCAATGGTTCTATATTATTGGTAGATAGTGAATCAACTGCACTGGAAAAATTATGATGCAGGTCAGTCAACCCATAACGCACAAAGAATGTTTTTTGGATGATATCACAAGACAAAGCAGCTATTGGCGAGTCAAGATCATCTCCTTTCAATAGATCGTTGATAATCTTTAGATCTGGCAAAATATTGAAAACTACCTGTGGAGTTCTGAGTAAGTCAAAAAATGCATTTTGATGCCCTTCATTTTGATACTTTTCATATTCTGTGAGGAAAATACGGCGTATGATAGGATTTGCAAACATAAAAGGTTTATGCACAAAAAGCAGTTTATAAAAAAGTCGGCGAATTGGAGATGTGAGGGCTTTAATACTTAGGCAACGATTTATAAATGACATTTGTGCAAATTTCAGTTCATTCGACTCGAGAACTTCCAAAGCCACAATAACAAATTGTTCAAATAAAATGTCACCCATATCACGCCTTATAATTGACCTAATAACCTCTCTGAAGGATGATGGTACAATTTCTCTATTTAAATTTGTAAGGTCGTTACAAATGTACAACAATTGAAGTGATGGCAGGATGGCCAATTCTGGTATATTGTTACTAATTAATAAAAGCTCAGCAACTTCATGTTGCCACCTTTCTAAATCATTTCTTTCATTTACATCCAAAAGAATATCCCAATCTAGTATATATCGTTCGATTTTCTGGGAAATTTCTTTGATATTTTTTTTGTTTTTTTTCTCTTGAAACTTCGTTACTATTAAGTGTACATTTTCCTTGTATTTAGTAAAGATATCATCCATCATTGTATGTGGGAAAATATTTGACACTGTATACGAAAATTTTAATGTTTCTTCTTGGGTGTATTGTTGAATTTCTGTGTCATTAAATACTTTCCTGTCATTGACCGAAAGTTTGATATCAAGAGTCCTTTTAAATAGCGTTTCAGCACGTTTTCGGAATGATACAGCTTTATTTTTCCAAGCGTTACCGTTATTTTCCAGTAACGATTCCCGAAACGGATTTAGTATTGTATGTAAGTCGTCAGGAAATGTTGTATCATCAAGAACATTATCGAGAGAAGTATATAAAATAATATACATTTCTTTGCTCTGGTTGAACAATTCGAACAATTCAGACTCAAGCTTATTTTGTATCATAGGTAATCGATTTTTTAATTTTTTAACTGACCTTCTTAAATTATCTTTCACCGTTTTTTGTGCAAAAGATATTATTTTCTTTTTGTTTTCCGCCACAATGTACTGAGTTTTTTCTTCAAACAAGTTTTCAAGTTTTTCTCGACGTTGTTGTACGAAACCCTCTGGAAAATCCTTAACTATGTCATTAAAATTGCTCCATAGTTGTTGGGTCAGTTCATTGATAGACATTGTAAGGTCTTGTTTTGATCGTGGTAACTCTATGATAGACACAAGTTCATCAAATCGGTTCTGAAAGTTTTGTACTTCTGCTGTTAGTATTGCGATATTTGTTTTTATCTCACTCACTATTAAACTGACTGATTTGTGATAATCTGTATAAATTTCATTCACAGTGTTATCAGAAAAATTCTCCGATTTCAATTTTTCTTTAAAATTTTTTAGTTCTTCGTATAAATATGCATCAACACCCTCATAATCACATCCTTCTGTTTTATAATGAGGATTCATTTCGTTGACAAGTGTATGAAAATTATTCAATGCATTTCTCTTTTC